GCCGTCCCCGGGGCGCTGAGCCTGCCTCGCGCCTCCCCGGGCTGGGCGGCAGTGGTAGCCGGCAGGGGCATTGGTTTTTGGCCGTCCCCAGGGCGCTGAGCCAGCCTCGCATCTTCCCCGGCCGTGCGGCAGGCGGCGGGGGCATTGGTTTGTAGCCATCCCCAGGCCGCTGAGCAAGCCTCGCATCTTCCCGGGCTGGGCGGCAGTGGCGGCCGGCAGGGGCATTGGGTTTTGGCCGTCCCCGGGCCACTGAGCCAGCCTTGCATCTTCCCGGGCCGTGCGGCAGGCGGCGGGGGCATTGGTTTGTAGCCGTCCCCGGGCCGCTGAGCCAGCCTTGTTTTTTCCCGGGCCAGGCAGCAAGTGGCGGGGACATTTGTTTGTAGCCGTCCCCGGGGCGCTGAGCCTGCCTCGCGTCTCCCCGGGCTGGGCGGCAGTGGCGGCCGGCAGGGGCATTGGATTTTGGCCGTCCCCGGGGCGCTGAGCCTGCCTCGCGTCTCCCCGGGCTGGGCGGCAGTGCGGCCGACAGGGGCATTGGGTTTTGGCCGTCCCCGGGGCGCTGAGCCTGCCTTGTGTTTCCCCAGGCCAGGCAGCAAGCCCGGCGGGCAGTGGGGGCATCGGTTCCTGCTCGTCCCCGGGCCGCTGAGCCGGTCAAATCAACGGACGTGGAGGTACTGCAGCTGGCTTTTTGATTCGCCGCAGACCTCCATTGACTTCCATGGGGATTCTTGGCAATGAATGGGGCTGATTGAAATCGCTTCAAGAAGCAAGCTGCAGAGACACAGAGAGCTGCAAATGATCTCCACAGGAGATGCAGCAAGGGCAGGAGACGAGAAAGAGTCCGCTATGTCTGTGCACAAGCCCCGAAAGCTTTCTTCCTCTCCCTGCCTTTCTTGCTGGCCCTCTGATGTAAGCATCTGCTGGGTTTCCTCAACCTCCCCCCCCATTTTATTTTAATCCCACCATCGCCTCCCTCTTTCGCAAAGTTGACATTCCTAGGACTCGTAGCTCGCTTCGCTCCTGGAGTCACTTGGCAAAGTTTGAAGGAGAGGCTGCCTGCTCCCACCTCCCACGGAGCAGAACTGCTGCTTCCTCACCTCCCAGCGAAAGAACCCCAGAGAGCTGGAAGGCGTCCTTTCTCCCACTTTCCGCTTCCCATCCTCCCTTTTCCAAGCACCCCTCCCAGAGCAAACCAGAAGCCTCAACTCCAGCCTCCTGCAGCAGGCTGAGATAGGCGAGCCCGAGCGACCGTCTTCTGCTGCCTCAGAACATTCACTGCAGCAGCTCTTTCTCTCCGTCGGCTTCCTCCTCCGCTCCCTGGGAACCTTCGCGCCAAAAGGCAGCAAGAAGAAAGTCCCAGAGAGGGAGAGCGCGGGGTGAGGGGAGAGCAGTCTTTTCCGAAGGGAAGAGAAGCCAGGACTGCAGAGCCGTTCATACCAGAGCTGGATGGGGGGCAGGGCAGGCGCACGTTTCGCCTTAAGCTCCTCTCTTCAATCAAGCCCTGTGTTCTGTGCGCATGCGCGTGCGCGCGCGTGTGCGCGCGCACATTTTGCGGCTCCCAGGATTTATTTTTTGTGAGGGAAATGGATCCAAGTGGCTCTTTCACTGTTGCAGGTTGCTGACCCCTGGCTTAGGTGAAATAAAAGACAGAATCAGTAACAAGAAACTGACAAGAAACTGAATCAGAAGATTGATTCTCTAATTCAGTTGTTATCAGCCCAAATAGAGGTTCTTAGGAAGTGAGCTCTCCCTATTTGATCATATGAAATCCTTTAAATCTGATAAGGCTTCCTCCACTTCTGCAGTGATGCCCCTCTTATCAAAAAATAAAATTTACTTATGGGTTAAGCATTCCTTCCAGCCAACTCTCCTCCATTTTCCAGCTTCATAGAAATTGATCTTCTCAACTGCTTCTGGAGTAATAATGGGCTTGCTAAAAGGGAATAAACTGGGATTTGATCAAAGAAATTATGGATGCTCCTTCCCCCTCCCCAGACCTGTAGTCTGTGACATTGTTTAACCTGTTGCAATCAGGTGTCCATCTGAGAATACTTCTGAACTCGCTTTACAAGTGTGCAGCTGCACCCAGCACTGTTAAATTGGTAATCCAGCTGCCTCTATCCCCAATAAACTCAGTTCTGGCTATAATAACACATGCCTTGGTTACAGATCACAATATAATAACATATGCCTTAGTTACAACTAGATGAGAATAATTCAGCATGTTCTTGTAGACAGTAAGGAGGATGACCTTGATATGCAAAAGCTGTTGCGTAGGCAAAAGGTGCTAAAAAATTTTTAAGTCCACAATGTCCAGATAACATTTGGAAGCAGCTCAAACAGACACCTCCCTATTCCACATAAGAAGGAAGGGGAAGTGCAGCACAATGAGGCTTGCAAGATTCACATCAGCCCAATCAAGTAGACCAGACAATGAAATCAACTCCACAGGTATGCTAAAACTACTTTATTGACAGTGGCTACAATAACAGAATCTTGCAAACCTTATTGTGTTACACTTCCTCCTTATATTTCTGTGAATTAGAGAGTTATCTATCTGAGTTGCTTTCAAATGTTTTCTGGTTTTCAATATACTTTGCAAGAATGCATGGTTTAGTCAAATTGATATGAGCACAACCTGACCACTTTTCCTACACAAAATCTTCTAAACTTTTCATATGTGCAGTGACAAAGTATATCTATCATTTATTCAGATAATTGACATGCCATTATTCCGCTTTCTCACAAAATTAGTCAAAGCAATTTATAATAGCTAAAAAGCATAAAAACCATAATCAATTATTAAGACTATTTTCAACAAGCTTAAAGCAATCATAAAAGTAAAGCAGGCAGCTAATTAGTATATATATCCTTCATGTTACTAATTGGCTGTTATGATTATTTTAAGCTTGTTAAAAATATGTACAAGTCTCTGCAGTTTTCTTGACAAGATTTTTGGAAGCAGTTTGCCATTGCCTGCTTTCTAGGTCTGAGAGAAATGGCTGGCTCAAAATCAGCCTGCTGAGTTTGTGCTTAAGGTGAAACTAGATTTCAGATTTCTTGGTGCCTTAACTACTATACCAAACATTAAGCAAATGCAGAATCAAATATTTCTTTAAAAGAAATAAGTTAACAATCTAACTACGGTTAGCTAAAATGTGTGGCAGGTTCATAATTACAGCCATGTGTATAGTATCAGCAAAAATCTTGATATCAACAGAAATATGTGAGCGTACCAAAATAGTATTTTCATGACTACCACTGGGATAAATAGATTGGTTATAAATGACACAAAGCAAGTTGATTATATGGCTTCACAGATTCAAATAAAATTATATGGAAAATTGCAGATTGTAGGTTTTTCTTGGTGAACGTAAATTATATTGTGCACCATCCGAAATAAGTAGCTTTTCATGCTAAACAATGCCGTGGACGGAAATCTGCAGCCTATCTTACAGATCTGAATGCCCAATTTCCACTCATTTTAATTAACTTATTAGACACCTTTAAAAAAATCCCAAAGCTAAGATGGGAATATAAAGAGGGAACAAGACTCATGATGTGAGGGAACGTTCCTCTCTCGCCAATAATTAGAACATGTGGGGTTACTGTTGAAAAATAGCATCTGTCTCTTTTAGGTCTCCAATGTTATTTTCAGCAAAAATTGTTACATTACATGCCATTATGTTGTAAAGTTTCCCAAAGCTTGACAGGAGAAAGAAGGGTTGATAAAAACTCATAAGAGGTTTTGTTTATTATGTCTGATCAAATAAGAGGATAACATCTCAAAGAAAGGTTTATAGTATAAATGGGTTGGGGTCAGTATAGATAGTATAGATAGATTGTGGCTAGAATTCATGCTTGCATCCTTTAAATACAGCTGGAAATTAATATATTATCTCTTCACTTTGGTGGAATAAAGAGTGAGCTGCCACAGGGAAGGTGAGACTGGAGCTCTGTTATTCCTAGCTTCAGATTGGTTCCCCTTCCAAAACAACTCAGCGACAAATCAGTCAGCTCAGCTGTCAAAGAAAGATGAGTGTGGCAAAAAAGGAGCACCCTCTTGGTTTAGTGACAAAAAGTGCTGGTTTATACTGAGGACACCCAAGTTCCAGTGCACCTTCAGCCATGGAAACTCACCAAATAATTTTGGGAGAATCACTCTCTCAGCACAGAAAAATTCCATGGTAGCCAACTAGAGCATCCCCCCAAAAGTTGGAAATGCATTCCATAAAGGGACTCAAATCAACTGTCCACCTGCCCATCCATCGGCAAGATAACTCTCCCCAAAGTTAAGAGAACAAAACTAAATGTGAAGTTGGTTGAAATGCCAACAAAAGGAAGATCAAATTTGAAAATGGAAGGTTGGGAATTGCAAAGAGAAGAAATCCATTTTTAAAAATCCCCAATGAGATCCCTCCTCCTCCTTCCTAAATGGATCACTTGCACGTGCTATAATTAAGAGTTTGGAAAGAATTCTAGAAGCAGCATTCTGCTTCCTTTATCTCGTTCATGTAAAAACTAGGGCTAAGGAAATGCACATAACACATAATATATAAATATGGTTTCCCTATCTCTTATCTTTTAATTCCCAATTTGGAATTTCTATCACTGTATTATAGCTATAATGGCTGTAAACTTGGGGGGGGGATCACTATGGCTGATAGGAGCTGGAATCCAGAAACAGTTGGAAGGAAATTGGCCACCTCTGCTTAAAAAAAAAAAAATCTGAAATACATTTTGTCACTTGAGAATAATAGCAACTGAAGTTGTAAAAAAAAAAAGTCACATTTATTTCCTCCTGGACTTGTCATAATCAATTTAAAATTCACCCATGTAAAGAAAATCCCCATGGTATTCAATCCACCACAGATTTTAAGAGAACTAAATCCCTCTCCTGCTGCATGTATAATTATACAATAACTCTTTATTAATAAACTATAGGCACATTTTAAAGCATGAGGGCAAATAATTCAATATAAAGGACAGGCTTTTCTACTTACATTTATGAGTCAGGAGGACATCAAAAGAATCTGCCCACCTGGTAGCTTCTTCTGTGGATAATCTTCTATGGGGAAAAAGGGAAAGTCAAGAGCTACGACAATTGCCCAAAAATAATTTATTAAAATTCTATAAATCTGAGGTGGCCATATTCTGTACCTGAAATAGTTTGGACAATATTACAGATCAGTTAATAACTTATTCTTTTGTATCAGAAATGGGCAGAAGATAAACACACAATACAGTCACAAAGTTCTAGACCCCCAATTGTTGAACAACAAGAGATCCTATCATGCCCAACTTTCAATAAATTATGTTGCTCAAACAAAGAAACTGGGAGGAGAGGAACCAGGAGTGGATTTTGTGGTGAATTAATTTTGATCTCAGTTCTGAATAAATTCTTGAACTAAACATGGTTTGTTAGGCCGCCTATCCATGAGAAACTTTTAATGTCTTTGCAGGATCACTCAGCTACTCTTGAAATAAGTCTCACTATTGTTGTTTTGGCACAACAGAGGTTGAAGAGAGAAAATAGGCTTAGAAGCATTCAGTCTCTAATAGTAAGGATTATCAAGACTGTATTATTTCATTTGGGTTTAAGTGGGTCATCTTAAAGCTCTTGTAAAATAAAAATTTGCAACAATGAAATTGCCCATCTTTGTTCTACATTATCTCTTATACAAGAACTGAAGCTTGTTGAATTCCAAAAGAGATTTATGAAGGAGAAAGAGACAAGATACATACCAATATCTCACGCTAGCACTTTACTTATCATGAATCCAACTACTCTTTTCCAAAGCCTCTATGTTCATCCACCACCTCTTGGGTCATCCTTTCAAAGATATTTCCTTACCAAGTTCCTCAATGTTTTCAACATTGACAGAACATCTAATGCATCGAAAAGGTGGGATACATTCAAAGATGTATCTGCCTTGAAAATAGACCATGTTTAATTGTATAACTCAGTCAAATATTACCACAGGAAATGTTTTGTGACAGTGGTTCTCAACCTATGGTCCATTAACCTCTAGGGGGAAGTGATGTTATCACAGGGGGTCCACGAAGGCTTGAAGAAAAGTTATGATTTAAATCTTAAGTTTTGGTGGTCCGTGGCCGTGGTCTGTGGCCACAAAAGGTATCTAAAGGGGGTCCACAGTGGAAAAAAAGGTTGAGAAACACTATTTTATGACATTTTATATGGCATATGTTTTATAAAATTTGCCAAATTTCAATTCCATGGGAATCATGAGTGCTGAATTTTGGATGCATTCTGTAAGTTAACCCATTTAAAGTATAAAGCTATATTTGCTATTAAATTGTTTATCAGAATGTCCATATCATTCCCCTTGTGGATATCAGGAGTGTGTGGAAGGGGGGGACAATGATGACACATGCATTATGACAGTATGCAAATAACTCCTATCAATGCACGTACTTAATTGTAGTGCTCGCATGAGAGCATTCCTACACACATCTCATCATTTTGATACTATTTTTCCTCTATAGTCCTTCTTGCCAGTTATTGCAATTCTCCCTATCTTGGTAAATTTCCAATTGTCTTCTTGAAAATGGTATATAGGAAGCCATGCTTGCTATGGTCAGTGGAAATCGGTAAATATTTTTTATTCTCATTCCTTAAATCATTAAGTATTCATCTTTTTAAAGATTCCTCCTGTGTCTCCTGAAAATGGTCAATCAGTAGGTCCTTGGCAAAGGGAAAAAAAAATGGAGAAAGGGATCCCTGCCTGAAAGCAAAGGCCCCAACTTACTTCAAAGCTCGAGTTGGTTTATCCGGAAGGATGGCTGTGAAGTCGCTGCATGAGTCTGACTTGTGAGACAGACAGCCCAGGCGAGTCCTCATCCCTCTGTTTCTGCAGTCGGTCATACACGATAGGGGAGCAAATGGGAGAGAAGGAAAAGGGATAACAATTAACATTAGTGCATAAGAACACAAGAAGGATCTGTGCTTCATCAGTCACTGGTTCCATTTATCTCTGTATTCTCTGTTAAATACTGGCTGGCCAGATGCTTTCTAAAAGCCCACAGGAAGAGCAACGAAGTCATTTTGTATTGTTCATTTACTTGAAAGTGGTAAACAATTCCAAAAGAGCATCTTTGCCTACATCAGCCTCACAGAAACTTAGGATCTTCAGGGACTTCAGTTGTATAATACATTAAGCTGCAAAGCTGATACGTTTTACATGTGCTTCACAAAATCATGTTTACAGTGGCTTTTACTTTAAGCCCTAAAACCTCATCCCTAATGCTTGCTCCAGGTTATTGTTTTTTTATACTATTGCTATAATTAAAAAAACCCTCATCTATTTGACCTCTTTATTGTGTATCTTTATAACTGCTTTAAATCTCTGTGGCATTGTTGAAGTAAGAGATAGAGAGATGCATGCACGTGTATATTTTTAACTAATCAACCAACCAACCAACTAAACAGAAATTCCATTTAAATACTAGCTTTATTTAAAGTGTTAACTTTCAAAAGGCACCACCTCTTGTCTCCTGGCAACAAATTCCATACATTAGTCACCGAGAAAAAAAAGGTTTTCTTTTGTCTCTTCTAATTTATTTTACTGCCAATCAATTTCACTGAGATATTTGCTGCAGGAATGGGCTAAAACAGGTCTTAAAAACAATTTTAGGAAGATAGCCTTATAAGTAGGAAGATATATTTGATGCTGTCTTTTCCTTCTGAGAATATATGGAATATATGGAAAGCCAACCCAGGCACCAATCAGAGCTACTTAGGTTCAGTAAGCTGACTATGTTATATAACTTTGACTTGTCTCATTGTATTTATAATAAAACTGATACATCACTCATTAAAGGTAAAGGTTTCTCCTGCCCAGTCATGTCCAACTCTAGGGGTCAGTGCTCATTTCCATTTCTTATCTGAGAGAGCCAGCATTATCTGAGGACATTTCCATGGTCATGTGGCCAGCATGACTATAAGCCAAGGTGCATGGAATGCTGTTACCTTCCCACTGAAGTGGTACCTATTTATCTATTTGCATTTGCATTCTTTCAAACTGCTAGGTCACGGGTCGGCAACCCGCGGCTCCGGAGCCGCATGCGGCTCTTTGAGCCACCTCCTGCGGCTCCGGAGCCTTCTCCGCCATTTTCATAGAGAGAGAGACAGACAGAGACAGAGAGGCACTTGTGCTTCCCTTCTATCTCTCTCTCTCTCACACACATGCAGATTTGCCCCTTGCTCCCGATTGGCCCTGCAGCCAGATGCCCTGCCCCCTGGTGGCCAGGAAGGGCCTTTCCGGGGCTGGCCCAGTCCGAGGTGCATGTGGCCAGAGAGCCGCGCGGGGAAGCCCCAGGATCGATGCTGGGAGCGGCCCAGCAGAGCCTCCGTTGAAAGGGCCAGCCCTCCCGCAAGCTGCGGCCCTAGTGGGCCAAGCAGGAGCAGACCCGGAGATGGAGGGTGAGTGGGGAGGAGGGAGGGGGCTTACCTGCACCAGGCGGAGGGGCAGCCGAGCCGGCCTCGTGTCTCCCTGGGCTGGGCAGCAGGCCTGGCGGGGCCAGCGGCCGGCAGGGGCATTGGTTCCTGCCCTTCCCCAGGCCAGGCGGTAGGCCCAGCGGGGGCAGCAGCCGGCGGGGGCATCGGTTCCTGCCCCTCCCCGGGCCGCTGAGCCAGCCTCGCGTCGTCCCGGGCTGGGCGGCAGTGGCGGCCGGCAGAGGCATTGGTTTTTGGCCGTCCCCGGGCCGCTGAGCTGACTTCGCATCTTCCCGAGCTGGGCGGCAGGGGCATTGGTTTGTAGCCGTCCCCGGGCCGCTGAGCCGGCCTCGTGTCTCCCCGGGCGGCAGATGGCGGGGATATTGGTTTCTGGCCGTCCCCGGGGCGCTGAGCCTGCCTCGCGCCTCCCCGGGCTGGGCGGCAGTGGCGGCCGGCAGGGGCATGGGTTTTTGGCCGTCCCCAGGGCGCTGAGCCAGCCTCGCATCTTCCCGGGCCGTGCGGCAGGCGGCGGGGGCATTGGTTTGTAGCCGTCCCCGGGCCGCTGAGCCGGCCTCGTGTCTCCCCGGGCGGCAGATGGCGGGGATATTGGTTTCTGGCCGTCCCCGGGGCGCTGAGCCTGCCTCGCGCCTCCCCGGGCTGGGCGGCAGTGGTAGCCGGCAGGGGCATTGGTTTTTGGCCGTCCCCAGGGCGCTGAGCCAGCCTCGCATCTTCCCCGGCCGTGCGGCAGGCGGCGGGGGCATTGGTTTGTAGCCATCCCCAGGCCGCTGAGCAAGCCTCGCATCTTCCCGGGCTGGGCGGCAGTGGCGGCCGGCAGGGGCATTGGGTTTTGGCCGTCCCCGGGCCACTGAGCCAGCCTGGCATCTTCCCGGGCCGTGCGGCAGGCGGCGGGGGCATTGGTTTGTAGCCGTCCCCGGGCCGCTGAGCCAGCCTTGTTTTTTCCCGGGCCAGGCAGCAAGTGGCGGGGACATTTGTTTGTAGCCGTCCCCGGGGCGCTGAGCCTGCCTCGCGTCTCCCCGGGCTGGGCGGCAGTGGCGGCCGGCAGGGGCATTGGATTTTGGCCGTCCCCGGGGCGCTGAGCCTGCCTCGCGTCTCCCCGGGCTGGGCGGCAGTGGCGGCCGGCAGGGGCATTGGGTTTTGGCCGTCCCCGGGCCACTGAGCCAGCCTTGCATCTTCCCGGGCCGTGCGGCAGGCGGCAGGGGCATTGGTTTGTAGCTGTCCCCGGGCCGCTGAGCCAGCCTTGTTTTTTCCTGGGCCAGGCAGCAAGTGGCGGGGACATTTGTTTGTAGCCGTCCCCGGGGCGCTGAGCCTGCCTCGTGTCTCCCCGGGCTGGGCGGCAGTGGCGGCCGGCAGGGGCATTGGATTTTGGCCGTCCCCGGGGCGCTGAGCCTGCCTCGCGTCTCCCCGGGCTGGGCGGCAGTGCGGCCGACAGGGGCATTGGGTTTTGGCCGTCCCCGGGGCGCTAAGCCTGCCTTGTGTTTCCCCAGGCCAGGCAGCAAGCCCGGCGGGCAGTGGGGGCATCGGTTCCTGCTCGTCCCCGGGCCGCTGAGCCGGTCAAATCAACGGACGTGGAGGTACTGCAGCTGGCTTTTTGATTCGCCGCAGACCTCCATTGACTTCCATGGGGATTCTTGGCAATGAATGGGGCTGATTGAAATCGCTTCAAGAAGCAAGCTGCAGAGACACAGAGAGCTGCAAATGATCTCCACAGGAGATGCAGCAAGGGCAGGAGACGAGAAAGAGTCCGCTATGTCTGTGCACAAGCCCCGAAAGCTTTCTTCCTCTCCCTGCCTTTCTTGCTGGCCCTCTGATGTAAGCATCTGCTGGGTTTCCTCAACCTCCCCCCCCCCGTTTTATTTTAATCCCACCATCGCCTCCCTCTTTCGCAAAGTTGACATTCCTAGGACTCGTAGCTCGCTTCGCTCCTGGAGTCACTTGGCAAAGTTTGAAGGAGAGGCTGCCTGCTCCCACCTCCCACGGAGCAGAACTGCTGCTTCCTCACCTCCCAGCGAAAGAACCCCAGAGAGCTGGAAGGCGTCCTTTCTCCCACTTTCCGCTTCCCATCCTCCCTTTTCCAAGCACCCCTCCCAGAGCAAACCAGAAGCCTCAACTCCAGCCTCCTGCAGCAGGCTGAGATAGGCGAGCCCGAGCGACCGTCTTCTGCTGCCTCAGAACATTCACTGCAGCAGCTCGTTCTCTCCGTCGGCTTCCTCCTCCGCTCCCTGGGAACCTTCGCGCCAAAAGGCAGCAAGAAGAAAGTCCCAGAGAGGGAGAGCGCGGGGTGAGGGGAGAGCAGTCTTTTCCGAAGGGAAGAGAAGCCAGGACTGCAGAGCCCGTTCATACCAGAGCTGGATGGGGGGCAGGGCAGGCGCACGTTTTGCCTTAAGCTCCTCTCTTCAATCAAGCCCTGTGTTCTGTGCGCATGCGCGTGCGCGCGCGTGTGCGCGCGCACATTTTGCGGCTCCCAGGATTTTTTTTTTGTGAGGGAAATGGATCCAAGTGGCTCTTTCACTGTTGCAGGTTGCTGACCCCTGTGCTAGGTTATCAGGAGCTGGAGCAAGTAACAGGAACTCACTCCATCATGCAGTGTTCAGATCTCGAACCCAGACTATCAGCTTTCCAGCTGACAAGCTCAGTGTCTTTAACTGCTGACTCATCACTCGTTGGGGCACTGAAAAACCTTCAGTGGGTTAAGAAATAGGCTACTGAGGAACTAACTAAAACGAAATAAATTATAGCGATTTCTACATGCTGATGAGAGCAGAAAGTTCCTTCTTATTGTAGGGACTCTTTCAACTTTTCTAATTCTTGAATTGACCAGTAGAAAAGAAGAAAGGCTTGTTCTTAGCAGCTTCTCAGAGCAGATGGAATAGACCTAAACTATAGCAAGATACATTTCAGCTGAATGACAGGAACACTTTCTAAAGTAAGAATATTGGAGAATAGAATTTGACAATCAAATAAATAAAGCTAGGCATCATCTATTAGAGATGATCTGCCTCTGTTTATATCTCAGATTTCTTGGCCTAAAAAGACCCCTCCAAGCTACTATCACATTTTTCTAAGAAATAAATTGAAGACTAGGGGAAGTCAAGTCTACTTGCAAATCTTACTTCTCCCTGTGTTTGTGTGCATTTTACATGTGTGCATACACCTCTCTGGACTGTTGCCTGCAGGAAATAGAACCCTAATTCTATTACTTCCAATAGTTTTTCTTAAAGGAAGCATTGAAGGAGAGGGAAGGGAAGTATGCCTTGTACTGCACATTGTAAAGGATGCAAAGCATTAAAGAAAACTGGATACAGGTGTTAAGTCTTCTCAGTAATGGCGAATGATGAAGACACATCTTACAAGGAACTTCTCTTTATTTCGTTTCCAGCCAAAGCTCCAACAACGAGCAGAGGCACGCAGGCCTCCTTTTATACGC